TTAAAAATGTTTCTGAATGTATATTTAAATTAACATACTGTATTTGTTGGAAATTCAGTTACATCAACAAGATATATAGGTAGAAAGTTTCAGTATGGACTAACAGATTTTGACTGAAACTATGCTGGATCAACTATTTTATTCACTTGAATTAATGAGAAATCTGGCATTCTACCCTATATTTTAGAATATGATAGTTTACTGGATAATTACTATTTTAAAATCATTGATGCTGCTAGTAATGAGTATACATGAAGATTATTAGAACATTGCTTCTCTTAAAATTGAAACCTCTCTTAACCTGAAACCATTTTTTTGTTTTGCTGTTAGTGTGTGGATCATTTTACTTTTACACTTCATTTTAGGTTGCTTCATTTAATTCTGAATGGATTATCTTTATTCAATTTTTTTTATAAAGTACAATATTAAAATTTCAGAAAAACCATGCTTAATGATTGCTCTAGGTGTATTGAAAGATTTATATAGTGCCGAGGATTAAGATAAAACATGTTCTAGAGTTTGAGTATCTTGAAGATTTTGAAATGTAGGTTTATTTAGTTTAATATGATATTTAAAACTTGTAATGGTAATCAATATTTATATATTTGACTAGAGTTATAAGGATATTAAAAAGATGCTTTTACAACAGTGGAAAATTTATAGCAAGCTAGGGTGAGAAGAAGACTTCAAATTTACTTTAGATTTCTCTATACTATTTTTATGAGTTAGGTATGATGTCTAAATGTGTTAGTTACACTTGAGAAAGTTTAATGACTTCTGTTGTTTTAAATGTTATCTAGTTAAATTTATTTTATAAATATATCATCTATTGATGTTTATTTTTACCTTCTCTGATGAGTTTTTCATTTTGTATAGAACAATAGAAATTACACAGTTTTCATATCCTGTTTATCAAGCATTTTTGAGGTATCTTTATACTGATGAAGTGGAGTTACCTCCAGAAGATGCTATTGGTAAGTTGTATAACCTGACATTGAGGAGTTTTTTGATGCGTAGACATGTATATAACAAGACTGTATATTTGTATTAGTCAAATATTGGAAGTTATTTAATAGCTGTAGGTTCCTCTTTTTTTGTAACATGAAATTATATTATTTAATACTAAGTTAATGTTTCTGTATCATGTCCTATTGTGTAAATTGTTTTTTATAATGTATAAGAATATTATTGTAGTTTCACAAAATCAGACTTCAGAACTTTTAGCTCCATACTCTATAATTAAGTTTGCCTACTAAGTTGATAGTTAGTAGTTTGATAAGGTTATTGAATAATACCAGAAGGTAAGTACTTGTAGTTATAGTCCTTGCTGTTTTAGCATCCAGATACTCTCCAGTCAGGTTTGGTGAAGTACAAGATAATCTAAGCCCCATGTGTTGACATATTTAGACTTCACTACGCATAACATAAGTGTGTAATTTGTGAGTATTATGTGTTTTAAATATTTAGAAAGAATATAGCTTCATTAACTTCCTGTGTTGCAAATTCTGTATAATTGAATGTTCATACTTGAAGTCATTTTAATTCTGCTAATAAATCATCTGATTTAAATTTTCAACAATATTGTAAGTTGTGTGTGTGTGTGTGTAACACATGCAAAAAAAAAAAAACCCAGTGGAAAGCTGGCTTCTAAATATTTTTACAGTGTTAAAAGTGAGTTCAACTTTTTATATGGTTAAAGCAAGTTAGTTCTGAAACTTGTGATAATTTTTTTAGGGAGTTGGATATTTTGTTAAGATTGTAAGTTTTAAGGAACACAGTATATTTAATTTGTTCTTTTGGATCAGAAGGCTTGTCCTTGAGTTTAAAAGTAAATGGTATTATTTGTTTGTATCTCTTTATAAAATATTTGAAACTTGATTTAAAAAGGAAGATGGTTGTATGTAATTGAAACTTGAAATGTATTTCAAGCTATCATGTATAAAAAAAAGTACTTAAACATGTAACATACAAGGAGATAATTTTTCTTGTAACTTTTTGCTTTATAATACTTGACCTTTTATAATACTGTGCTCTATGTTGTTGTTTCTTCTACGAGGTTGTTTCTTCATTAGGTTATGTATGATCATGGATAGCAAATGATAATTAAAACTTAGGACAAGGCTATAACTATCCAAATGTAATTCTTTGCATATTAGATTAGTATCTTATACACTGATAGGCCTTTCACAGATGGAGTATCACAGGTTTCTTGTAATCTCTACAAGGTTTATAGCTACTATTTTCTTTGTCAACAGATCTAAATATATCTTTCTTTTTCTTTTCAGTATTATTACATGAATAATAATTTCTTCTCTGTCTTTTGTTGTTCAGTGTTATCAATTTTAGAAAAAGCTTGAGAACCATGATTATATTTTAAATCATTGAAGGGATAAAAAAGCCTTCTTGCAAATGAAGTTTATATTTGAGAATATTGATCATAAGGAAAAAGTATTAGTGGCTTACAGTCAAGAAATTCTTTACAAGTTCTAAGTTTTTGTAACTTTAAAACACTTATAGTTTGTGAAGCATGTTAGCAAGTACAAGTAGTATCCATGGGTGGCTTCTTCAGCTTGCAGTTTGCTGATTTATATTTATTTTAACTCATGTTTTGTTTATAAAAACTTAGTAAGGGCAATCTATTAAAGCATCACACATAAGCCATACTAAATATTCTACATTTCCTTAATTTCCACTGCTGAAAAAGTTTTTCATTACTGAAAATATACATTACTTATATTTGGTTAGAACATTGTTAATCAAAAGGTTCAATCTTAACATTTGTGATAAAATCAATTTTTCATGTAGTAAACTTTTTGTTTTTTAAGTACTTTTGTAAGGATGTACTGATTTAGATATTGTCATGGTTAGTATTATATTTTATAATTTATTGAATCAATATTGTATTGTTACCATATGTATGTAACCATTATTTATTCTATATTTCTGAACCTTTACACACTGTTTATGCTGTCAATTCTGGATTACTTAATAGAAATATGTGCTGAAAGCTAATTATCTCTGATTTCATGCAAATTGAAGTCAAATATTAGATGGTCAATAGGTCACTTTTGTTTTTGGTCACTTGCTGTTATTCCAGAGAAATCCATAAGTGTTTGTTTATACTTGTGCCAAGTAAGAAATCAGTGACAGCATATCATTATGGTTCACTGAGTAGGCAGCTAGTTTTGGTGCAATTGCTTGCCTTGTATTTAATAACCTATTTAATTTTTCTGTATAGTTAACTTCATTAAATCTCATTTATTAGAATTTTTACAATAATTTCAAAACTATTTTAATTGTAATTATAATTATTCAGAACATTTTGTATTGTTAGCTTAGTATGGCCCCCGAGCAGCACAGCAGTATGTCTGAAGACTTACAATGCTAGAAACCATGTTCCGATACCTGTGGTGGGCAGAACACAGATAGCTCATTGTGTAGCTTTGTGCTTAATTTCAAAAAAAAAAGAAAAGAAAGACATTTATAGGATTAATGACAAGAATATTGTTATAATGATTTCTTTTGTTGACTAGGTGCTTTTAGATTATTTGGTATAAAGAAGAATATCATTTCTTCAAGTTCCACAGTCAAAATAACCACATTCACTGATAAGCTGAAATTCACAAATGTGTAACAGAAATTCCCTGAACTTGCTAATTTTGTATATCTATTTATTCATAAAAACACAAACTCAATGTGTACAGAACTGAACTAACTGATTAACTGGTTGACACTAACAGGAAAACAAACTAAATCATTATGATTACTCATTAACTTGTTAATAAATGGCTGAAATAGTTTCTTAAACTTGAGAGAAAGTTCCATCACATTGTGTTAAACTTAATTTCAGTTAAACAAAAATACAAATATCTAGAGATATCTATGTTGAAATCAGATACTAATATCTTAACTGTGAGGATACTCAACTGAGATTTAGTGTGATCTAATAATTATAGGTTTTAGCCCTCTGATGTACTGATCTGTGACATGTATATCCAGTCAGTTTGTTATAGCTGATTGTTCTCATTAATGGAATAATATATATGCTGTATTTTCATTATTTTGAGTTTTGATTTATAACTAGTTTAAACACAAGTTTAATAGTTATCTGTTATTGATTTATGTTTACATAGTGTAAAAATGATTTTAAAATGTTTGTGTTATTATCTTAAAAAGTTGATTTTAAAGTTTTTATGCATTGAGTAAACTTTTCTCAAGTGATGCTTTATTTTTGTTAGGTTTGCTTGACTTAGCTAACTCTTATTGTGAGTTGCAACTAAAGCGTCACTGTGAGCGAATCATCAAACATGGCATCACTATAGATAATGTAGCCATGTTGTATGCTGCTGCAATTAAATATGAAGCAAAGGTGAGAAAGATGTTAATATATACAATGAAAAATAATATTGACATCATTGTTGTAAAAGCTCAAATAACTAAAAACATTTTGATATTTATATACATATAGTTGTAATACAACCAAATTTTATTTTATGACATAATTTATATTTGAACACAGCATATTGTGTATTTTATTCCTTTATGGTTAATTTCTGTGCTGAAACTGGTGGTGCGATAGTTTCCAAAAACACTGATTTTATAAAGATTGGTCAATGAAAGATGTATATAATTTTTATAACATTGCTTATTAAAAAGTTGTTTTGCCCTTTAATCATAAGAGAATGATGACTTAATTCAAAGTTTTATTAGTTTAAAGAATCATTTACTGCTAGTTGCAACTAATGCCTTAATGTATTTTAAGGTAATATTTTTATATGAAGCTGAGAGCTTTGTAAGAGGCATATCTAGATATGTTAGTGTTTGTACATCTATGTTCAGTACTGAGTGTGCATCATTGATGTGTTTTTTTTTCATCATTAAGGAACTGGAAGATTTCTGTTTTCGTTTTGCTTTGAACCACCTGACAGCTGTGGCTCAGACAGAAGCTTTCAATAAGCTTGATGAATTGACTATAAAAAACTTTATCTTCAAGGCTGCTCAACAAGGGGCCTTTAAATACTGATGTATTTGTATGAAGGTGGTATTTTTGCCACATGTTGATTGTTAACATTGTCTTCTTTCCATAAAGTGTTATGATAATGGTGGTTTGATTGGTGGGTCTCATCTCAACATTGTTATTACGATTGGATCTGTTTTCTTGATAATAAGAACTTGGTTATTAAACATCCCATCTTAATGATGATTATTGAACTGAATTGAATGTGACTACTGTGGTCTAGAGGAAGGAGAAGCTAGTAGACTGTTTTATTATACACTTAAAGTTTGTTATTGGACTCTTCAATAAGTAAGTGAGACAAGTTTGTAGACTGAAAGATTTGACATATGAACTTCATCTATATATAGCCTCTATTGCTATGTTATAAGTATTTATGTAGACAATATAGTTCTAAGGCAATCTCAGAGAACAGCTAATAGTATAGTTTGTAAAAACAATATAAAAGCGTTTGATTAAATTAGTTGCTTCTTGTTTTATTTTTGGAATACAGTATAAGTATATCATATAAAAATTAATAATTAACCACAGTAATTCCAAAGTAAGCTATACAAGGAAAGCAATCTTCATTCTTCTTGCAAGAGAAAAATTAATTTTTATAACACAAGTTACAAAAGATGTAACTAAAGTGGATTGTTGACCTTAGAGCAGAGGTGGGCCAACTCATGCTGAAAGTGACATGTGAAGCAAAATTTGCAACATGCTTGTCACTTAGAAAATATTTCATGTTGTGGTGCAAAACATAATAATGTTTGGAATGTCTGTATATGCATGTAATTTTATTAAAGTTGTATTAATAATTATTTCATTTAATTTGTAATGTCTTTTGATTTGACTGCTTGAACCCCACCTCCTCTTTGTTTCTATTGACTGGGTTGTGTGTATTGGTTCAGTGGCATCTTACTTAGATCTCAGAACCTAAAAATTGGCACAATTGCTAAAAGGATATCCACTTCTCAGTTAGTAATTTGTCATTTGCATTTAAATGATTTAAAATTTGTCAAAAAAGAAAGGGTTAAAATTTTAAGCCTAAATATATAGTTGAAAATTAGAAGAATATACTATCTTACTTAATATTATCTATGTATTCTGATTTGCATTTTTATTTAATTTTTATTCACTTTAATTTTGAATTAACATATGGTTGAGTTGTGATTCTGATAAAATGAAACTTGTTTTTTTTGTATGTACTTAGAGTGTACAAATGAAATTTTGTATTGTAAAAACAGGAAAATATAAACTAATGATATATGTATAAATAAGAATATATTGTGTGTATTGTAAGTTGAGCCAAAGCTGCATATATTGTAGTATCTCTGAAATGTATCAACAGCAAATGAGTCTGAACCAGAAGTGATATTAAAAACATGGAATGTTTTAAATAAAGGAAATAAAGAAGACAGTAAAAACTGGGCATTACAGGTTAGTTGCTGTTCTTGTACACATTTTTAGTGCTTTCTTTATCCCCAAATTTATAATTTTTTCCAGTGAACCCATCTATGTATAAAATGCAGAAAAATAATGCACTATGGTCCTTAGCACTCTGATTTACAAAGTATCACTAGAAACCTGTAAAGCTGTCTTGCTTAAGACATATGTAAAGAAACAGAATATTTTCTATTTCCAGTGTTTAGTTTTAGATATGTAGATATATTTTTTTCCATTAATAAGTAAGTTCTGTTTTCCTGAGGCTGCAAAGAAAGAAGATTTAAACTAATGAAATATCCATGTAAATACGTTGTAATTGTGTATGTCACGAGGTTTTGTTTGGCAGAGGGCTAGATTTTGATTGATTTTTATGCACATTCTTTTAGTCATACAAGCTGTAGAGGAAAGTTGCCTCACTTAATGTTTTTTTCACTTGGAATTCTTTATATATAATTGTATTTTGAATATATAATTTTCAAATGAGCTTGATGAATTTCATATTTGCCACCTGGTAGTGGACTGCGCACCATTCATTGCCGTAGCATTTTTTCTAGTTATTGTAGATAATATTTTAAGGTATTAACTTTTTTGTTTTAATTATAACTCCTTTGATTGTTAGTTTAATACTTTAATTTGGCAAATGGTCCAAACAATGTTTTTATTGATTTCATGTTAGGCCTAATTTTTCTTGCATTAATTTCCCTGTAAAAATTACAAACAAAATATTATAAAACAAACATTTGTCTTTTTCAGTTTTTGACAGCATCTTTCATTACTATTTTAATCACATTTCTTGCATTACTAAACCTCTACAAAGTTAAATTTATCTTACATAAAGGAAAACAAAAAAAGCTTTTGCTTATGACCTAAATAACTTAGATTATTATGTTCAGTAATGTAGTTAGAGGAAAAAAAACGTTCTATAAAATTAAGGTAAGGTTATGAATTATAGGGATAAAATATCCAGATAAAAGTCTGTAGTAATTGACATTAAAATAATAATATTAAATCTAAAAATGTTTTAGTATTCAGTCACCTGTAAATATGACTTGAATGTGGCCGTGGGATATAGATTATAGTATAATAATAGTCCTGCTACAATTTTTTCAGTTAAGTATGTTACAAAATTCCCCCAACTATTAAATTCAGAATTGGTATTGATTTATGTGTGCTGTGATACAGGTGCTGTGTTGACATTCAGATCTTTAGTAACATTCTCTGTTATTTTCATTGTTCCAAAATTTTGGGGTTTTATTCTAATTATTTTTGTAAATAGCTACAGTGTCTTGGCCAGGCTAGTTTTTCCTCGTTAACATTTGCCAGCTTTGGGTGTTCAAAGAAATTAAGTTCATGCTTTGCTTAGCAAACAATTTAATGATTTCTATAATGATAATAAAAGTAATGTTAAAGTCAGCTTATGATTATTGTAAACTCTTAAAGTGTTTATCAGTTCTTGGTATTTTTACCATTTCAGTAGGATAACTTGGGAGTTTTTCTTCAATGCTAGACCATCCCTACATTAAAGCATGAATAAATCTGTGATTTTACTTATATTTTATTAGTAAAGATACAGTATTAGTCAGATTTTTGTGTTTTTCCATCAAATGATGGTGAAGGAAAAATGTGAATCAGTAAACATCAACTCTTTATCCTAGCAAAATGAAAGAACATTAGGAGTTATCTGTAATTTATGGTTATTACACTGTTAAGTATTTCCAATAGATCTGTTATACCTATTGATGAGCAAAAAAAATGGTAAACCAAGTGGAAATTCAATACAGTAAGCTAAAAGCATTGTGGTCTTTTGTGAGATAGAAAACCTCATAAAAGACTAGAAGACTAGTTCTGAGTAACAGCTATGTAAATGTATACCAAAATGTATTTATGGGAGAAGTTTTAAAGAATGTAGCATTTGATGTATATCAAAATCTAATAAATATGCTGCAAACAATATAAATTGTTTGTAAAGGATAAATTATTTTTCAGAACATTAAAAATTAATTTTCCAAAGTTTGCTGCCAAAAATGTGTTTCAGATGTTTCACTCCTTTCCTGGTACCACAGAATCTTCTTCAGTAGCTGTGTTGAAGATCATATAGAAATGTTTGAAGTGAGTCATTTTTTAGGAGATGTATAAATACAGATATTGAATTTGTGTCTATCACTTTCATCTCTGCAAGACTAAGATCAACTTAGATATCAACTTTTATATCTTGTAATTGGTTTATAATTATTAACAATTCCATTTCATGAAAGTATTTAGAAATGTTTTTACTTTTTATAATAATTATTGTACGTTTACGAGTTATGTTTTTATATAATTTATTTCGTGTTTTCTCTGTTTATAAATTAGTTTTGAAAGTAAAATATGCTGTAATAGATTATTATATGATATTCTTTGATTCTGAAACAATTCTGTTTTTTATTAAGCATGTTTCATACTTGCTAAACTTAATTCCGTTAATCATTCCAAGTTTGCGATGTCCTGTAGCACACAAAAATTTAAATATTAGAAGGACCCAAGGACTTTTTCAAGAATGAGTGGAGTATTTTTGATAGAAAAAGGAAACAAGTTTATATATATTTTTTGCTTCGTGTTTTTTAAAATTAGTTATAAGGTTAAATTACACGTTTTATGAGTTAAGTACATACAGGTAAGTGATGGATAAAATACTTGTTTACATTTTTCCTCTCTGGATAGGTTATAATGTTTGCCTTCTCAGTGGTAAGTTTGTTTTCGAAAAAATATTGCTGATTTTAGGGTTTCGTGATTACCAAAACTAACTCCAGGGGTCAAATGTTTTAACCTCTTGCACCACTATACAGTAGTTTGTTTTGTCTGTCAGTAGACACTAAAATGACGTCACATAAGGGATGCCTAATGTTGCAATTTATAGCGTAGTGACTTCAGTAAAACTTGCGCATACCATGAATTACAAGAAGAATCATGCATTCTGTAGGCTACAACACAGCATGACATATCAACTTCATAAGCAAGAAATAAAAATATTTGTTCCTCCTAATTTTGTTTTTATTTACTCTTAAACAGAGCACTTTTGAGGACCCTGAGCAAGTACATCTAGTATATATAGTTGAGACCCTATTTTATTTCTAATATAAGCACTGTTTCGTTGATTTTACCGATGTTTATGATTGGTGGCCTTATTGTCCAACACCTGTGATTGGCTAACAGTATACATAATGCTGTCTATAAATTAGCTTGGATTTTATGCTGTTTTCAGAGCGTGACCTAGAGTTTGCTTAAAGAAATATCATTACATAAAATGTTAGAAAACTGAGCATTTTATACACCTATTAAAATTGCAAAATAAAAGCTGTTGAATTTATGTCAATTACTATAAATACAACGCTAGGATAACAGATAAATTGACAAAGTAGCAGACAGGTGGTGCTAATGAAGACAGAAAAATGAAAACGTTTTGTATACAACTTAACTTTCTTTGTCTATAAATATATTTCTTTCCAATTACACCTTTAAAAGCACTAGTAGATTTTTTACTCTGTTTAGATTTAATTTTTGGCATCTTAACGTTTATTTATTTAGGGTTTGAAAATAAATTGAGTTTATATATAATATAAATACACACACACATATATATGTATATATGTGTGTGTAGTTTGAATTTGCATTCAGTATAGTTTAGTTTTAACAAAAGAGTACCTTACCTTAAAATACCACAATAGTTCGATAACAAAATAATATTTCAAATAATCGAATGTTTCGTAAACTTGTTGATTATTGAACTTGCTGACCTAAGCTGAAATCACAATTTATTGCTTTGCCATTTCTGAAATACAAATTAATATCAAAGTCTGTGCAGCATATCGTTTTATCATTAAAATGATTAAGAGTGAGTTTTATTAATTGTAAATATCATGACAGAAGTATTTTCGTTTCTTTTAGCACTTACTGATTTGGTGTTACAATATTAAGTTAAAATATTTGTACGTTAGAATACTCAACCTGCAAGATGCAGGTCGCGGGATCGAAACCCATCACCTTTCAGTTGTGAGGGCGTTATAATGCAACGGTCAGTCCCACTATTCATTGGTGAAGTGTAGTCCAAGAATTGGTGGTGTTGACTTCCCTATAGCCTATCACTTAATCCAGTGTGTGTGGATTCAAAAACTATTAAATTGGTGAATAATCCAGTGTGTGTGGATTCAAAACTGTTATATTAGTGAATAATCCAGTGTGTGTGGATTCAAAACTATTATATTAGTGAATAATCCAGTGTGTGTGGGTTCAAAACTATTATATTAGTGAATAATCCAGTGTGTGTGGGTTCAAAACTGTTATATTAGTGAATAATTCAGTGTGTGTGGATTCAAAACTGTTATATTAGTGAATAATCCAGTGTGTGTGTGTGTGTGTGTGGGCTCAAAACTATTATGTTAGTGAATAATCCAGTGTGTGTGGGTTCAAAACTGTTATATTAGTGAATAATCCAGTGTATGTGGGTTCAAAACTGTTATATTAGTGATAGAACGCAGCGTGAATAACGATTAAGCTAAGCGCTAATATGTAATCCAAGCACTTTTTAAATCAGTCTTCAAATTCTTAGGTTTAAATACTTGGTAAGTTCCATGGGATAAACTACGTGGATAACTTCAATATTACTGTAAGTAAAGCTTCATTCAGAAGAAGTGGCGGACTATCAATTTGCGAGTCCATTTATTTGCGTCATATTATCGCAAATTAAGTATATAAATTCTGCTCACCAGTTTTGGGCTGTGGGTTAGTCATAAAGGTGGCGGTCAAATTTAACTATTTGGTCAGACAAAAGCAGCCAAAGAGGTGACGGTGGGTGCTATTGACGAGCTGCTATTCCTGTAGTCTATCAGTTCAAAATTAGATGCGTCTAGCTCATATAGCCCTGTACGAATATGTGGAAAAATAAACGAAACAAAAAAAATTAAAGAATTTCAAATAAAAAAAAATTGACTTATCGTTAAAACACGTCAC